GAGAGCTTATCTGGGAAGGTCAATATATTTGAGAACACAATAAGGATTCCAACTCTCTTCTCAAAGTTTTCTACTCCCAGGTGAACTGTCCTTTTCTCCAACTGTGTATGATTAAAGTTGTGCGTTCAAAATTTAGCCAATAACAATGCTTTTTTTTGGTACTGGGGATCGAACTCGGGACCTTGAGTTTGCAAAGCAGGCGGCGGAACCACTGAGCTAAATCCCTGGCCCGACGATGCCTTTTTAATGTTGGTTTGCCAAAACAGAACCAAAGCTTTTCTGGTGTTGTAATGATTGAAAGACAATTCATTTTTATATGTACAGGGAACTAAAATAACACACCGAGGCCAGTGAGTTTTCATCCTTTTTTTTAACTTTAATGATGTCTTTCTTGGCTTATGCATAAAGTTAGTCAATCAGAGGGGGACTCTCCTTAAATTCAGGGAAAATACACTTACAAAGCTTTTCTAAGAAAATCAGAAAAGAGTATATACCTTACTCAACAAAGGAAAAGAAACCCTAATGGAGCTGACTGTACCTAAACTGCTAGAAATGTTCTTTCAGTCATGCATTTAAATATTAGATGAAATACACATTATGACACTGGTCTATGCCTTTCTGTGACCAAGATCATAGCACACACCTTTGGTAAGACATTGCCAAGTTGTGGAGATGGGTTTGCCAGGGCTGTCTAGATTCCCTCACATATGAACAAAGACAATAATGATGGAGGAGGTGAAGGTCTGACATATAAAGACATAACAAATCAACATGGCTTTAAGATCTATGCTCTTCAATATACACTTTTGATTTGTGCCATTTGATTTGGCAAACTATCTTTGCAGATGGCTGCTAGACTCTAGCACGTGAGCAAAATAACCATGCTAGATAATAATTACTTTTCCCACTAATGGAGGGTGCACATGTCCACTGGTCTTGCTGAATGTGCTGAGAAATCACGAAAGTATTTATAAATGGTAGAAAAACAAGTGTTTAAATCTGACCTTTTCCTTCCTTAAATATTAAGGCCCTGTAATATATGTAAAATTATGCCATGTAACCTGACTTGGGATGGGTAAAATCATCAAAAATTTTATAATTCTATTTTGGCACTTTTTTGTTCTAGTTGTTCTTTTCAAATGATCCTTTTCTCCAAGAAATATAGTCAACTTTACACTTCTGCTGAAGGAAATATAAGAATTATTAAATTCAAAAAGATTGAAATTAAGTGAGTACAAATCTTTCTTTCAAAATAATAAAAGATTCATAAAGGAAGAGATTATAGGTAGCTTTTTTCTGTAATTTAAAACTTGTAAGGTGTTTGTTTGTGTTTTTGTTGTTTTGTTGTTGTTGTTGTTGTTGTTGTTGAGACAGGCTATGCAGTTCAGGCTGGACTTGAACTCACTATGTAGCTGGGGCTGGTCTCCAACTCACAGCAATTCTCCTGCTTCAGCCTCCTGAGTTCTGGGTTTAAAGGCATGTGCTGCCACACCTGGCTTTTAAATGTTAATTTTTGAATCCAGGAGATTCATTTTCAGTTTTCATTTGTGTTTCTGTATGAACATCATTTAGAATTTGAAATATTTTGTTAGAGTATTTTATTCTTTATATTTTTTAAAGATTTTTCTCTATCGTGAGTTTGTCTAATTTAACATCAAAGATATTTAACCAAAACTCTTTAATAAAGAAATAGCTAAAAATCTAGATATGCCTCCTAAGAAAAGCCATTATATTAATGAAGAAAATAATGGCAACTCTCTAGGACAAAACATGGAGTTTGAGTTTTAGCTGAAGCCATTGGGTCTGAAAATGACATTCTGATTTAGTTTTATACTCAATAAAAAAATCACAAAAACCAAACAACCTCTCTGTTACTGAATATGTTTTTTCATATCCTGAAAACTGACTCAGGATGGCCCGGATTCTGGTCTTTCTAACGAAGACATTGACTTCTGCGGTACAGGGAAACTCATCTAAGGAGGAGATAGACTCTCCCCTAAGAAATTCAGAGTATCACTATGCCAACAGAAAAACATTTTCAAAAGGAAAAATAAGTAATAGGCCTGGAAGGAAAATTTTCCCTGAGCAACTGTGATCTCCTCACAAGAAAATTTGCTTTTTTAAGGAGAAATAACAAAATACATATAATTATTCCAGGAGGACTGTGAACCTTGGTGCTTTGTTTCATTGTAAGATCACAATAAAAATCTAAATATGTATTACCATAGAGATTCATTTTCTTGGAGTGTAGAGGATTAGCTCCCAAAGTCTAGGCATAATTTAAAGACAGATGAAGTAGATCAATTTAGTTATCACTGAGAAAACCAATCACAGGGTTGTTCCATTCACTTTATCTGGGTGCCTGTGTGTGTGTGTGTATCACACTTAATGTATCTGGGAAGATGAATCCACCCTGCTCATCTAAAGAAACAAGAATTGAAGAGGCTTCATTGTCTTTCATCTGGTTAAAATCATAAATAATAAAATGCCATGCACTAAAGAAGCAATTAGCATTTGTGAGTCTGAAATGTGTCACACTGTACAGCTGGCTCACGTATATGGCAGGCAACAAGTCAGGTACGTTGCCTTGGGAACAACTCAGAACAAGCATTCCCGCATGAGAAGGGAAAAAAGAATCTCATAAGCTACTTTTGAAGAATCCAGATCTGTACTCTGGAGACAGCACAGCTTGTATTCCAGCATTTTTCATTTATACTGAAATTCTAAGCTACAGGAAAATGGCATGCAGATGTGCTGTTTGTGGTTTGAGGAGACTTTTTCATGCCAGAGTCTATAGCTAGCATTAACAGTCATATTTTTAAAGTATTAGCATTCTATTTTCCACAAACTGTCACTCATGTATAACATAAACAATTAAAAATAAGGCACTAGATACCAACACCTCCAAAGTATCCACTCTGCAATTAACCCTTTAAACAGTAAGCACCTGCATCTTTGATGCCACTCAGCCAACACTGTATCTCTATCTTGCACCCCAAGGTCCCCCACAGTGTACATATCTGGCCTTCTTGATGCAGACGGTGGCTGCGGGGCCACTGAGACTCTTCAGGGCATCCCACATCATCCTGGAAGTGGCTCAATAGGCACCAGTTCAGAACTTTTGAGTTTTATTGTTCATTGTATTTAGTCAGTAAGCTGTATTTTATTGTTTTGGTTTTTTTTTTTTCTTTGGTACCGGGGATCGAACTCGGGTCCTTGCGCTTGTGCAGCAGGCAGCGAAACCACTGAGCTAAATCCCCAGCCCTAGTAAGCTGTATTTTATTACCCAGAAGAACTTGATGAAGAAAGACACCACAAATGGATGACTTCTGCCATAGAAATGTGTTTTTTAAAGAAATTTTATAAATGCTTTTAAGCCATCAGTGAATCACTAAAGAGAGACAAAAATCATAATGGCTTTTTGAGTACTGTAAGAATTAGCATCTCCCCCAAATGTTAGTAGCTAGTTTCCCGATCTTCAGCACTACTCCAGGCTTCCTACTAGTGCAGTCACAGTTTGTATACTTTTTTTAGTGTTTGTGTTTGTTTGCAAACACAACAAGAAGCACATGAAATTCTAGACACTCAGGGTGATACAAATGAGCAGGATTAGATGTACTTACTATTTAAAAGCTAAAATACACTCTATGGTGTAAGAATTAAAATACGAGTTTTAAAAAAATATTTTGTCCAAATGCTTTATTCCAAGAGTGGTGGTATTAGTTAAGAAATATCATCTTTTACTTTGCAGAAATCTTCAATTTCATAAGTTACCTGCTTTAAAAAAAATTACTATAAATGATTTGAGCTCACCTTTTCTCTCCAAATGCCTATTTGGCACTTTTCTGGTAATATTTTTAACTTTCTTAAATACCATTACTTGGGTCATAGCAGTTATATCAAGGTACAAATTTATAAAGTAACATATTTTTCAATATCAACCACTGATGTCAATTTATTCCATAATAGCACATTCCATAAAATTAAACTGCAAAAGATTTCCCACATTTGTTTTACATTCTCTATGTATGGCTTTTGAATAGCAATCTTGATGAATTCCAGCTGGTTTAAATATGCAGACCAACTCTTATATAACAGATTCCTTTCTATTCTTATTGTATTCACTGAAGCCCAGTTTAAGTGGGCCACCTGGTAGGACAAAGCTCCACAAGAAAAAAAAAGAAAACTAATCACTCTGCCAAACTTAAGACCATCTTCCCTACTATATTACTATTATACTTCTAATACGAGTGAAAAATAACTCTAGTTTTGGGAAAAGTTGAATTAAAATTTAAACATCCTTAGCAACCCTCTGGACTATTAAATGGCTCGTTTATCTATTGTAACAACATTAAAATAATTTCCACCGTTCATGTGCATTGCCCGTTTCCATAAATCGATCACACACATTTTGCTCCCCACTCCACTCCCCACACCCCCTGCCCTCCACCCAGCTGGAATACATCAAGAGCACAGAAGCCAAGGCAAATGCTGACCCCACCCTCCTCCTTCCATTTTAAGGCACCTTCAAAGCCAGAGCACTGATCTAGCTCAGTTTCGCCAAGGAAACCAGCCATACTGCTATTTAAGACTCCGGTTTGGGTTTTTTATAACTGCACATTAACATGAGAGCTTGATTTTGGATCAAAAACTTCAGCTGCACTGAATTTCATCAAATTGGGGATTCTTCTGCAGAATAATCCTCATTATTAAACTTTCATAATCTTTGCTCTCAGCGTTCGTCTCATTCCAATAACAACTTCTCTGAACTGTCCAATCAGCCCTGAAGAATGTAAATCTTCCTTCCAAAAGATCAAAACAGAAAAGCCCATTATGGTCACCCAAACACGGATTTTCCCATCCACTTGTACACCTCATATTATCCTGCACAGTAGCAGCCTGCGGTCATTCCAACATGCACACAAACACTCTGGGAGAGACACATGTGGGAGCAGTTGGTGTGGGGAGACAGGAGAGCCACAACAGGACAAAGAACTTACTTTGTTAGTCCCCTGTGCATGTAGCGGTAAGGAAAAAAGAAAATATATGTTAAACATAAATTTATTTTAAAATTATGAGGTTTTTCTTGCTAGAACAGAATCTAAACAAATCATTTGAATATTCACTGACATCGCATAATGTACATCTAGCATCCAGAGCTCATGAACAAGTCCCAGGATCCACGGAGGTTAAGTGAAATCATAACGTTTATAACATCAGAAATTATGACAGAGATTTCCCTCCCTTCCTTCTACTCGGAATACTTGGGGTATGGGAACCTGGCCAGAGAGAATTGGTTTGAATTGATAGTAAGCGAGCTGCTAGCACGAAAAGCAGAGCAGTTAGCATGTTGGCCTGCCCTGTCCTGACAGCCCCTCCTCCAACATGCCAAGCAGTGGAAAATTCCATCAGCCAGTGCATTTTTAAACAAACACTGCATCCTTGGTTTCAAAGAAAGTGGAATTTTAAAAAGAGAGAGAGAGAGAAGAGAAAAAGACAGCAGAGGAAAGGAGTGGGTGGTTCTGAGGAGACAGCATAAGCGGATCAAGTTACGACCTCCATCTGTACCATTCCTTTATTTTGTAAATTATGAATTTTGTCTTGGCTTGGCATGGGAATTGAAGACTGTATAGTGGGGCTGCCGCCAAAATAAACACTGGTTCACATTCAAGAAAATGGACTGGAAAGGTTAATTACAAAAATGTAGTCATCTCTAAAAGTGACACTCTGGATAGAGACAGAGCAGCCAGCGGCCGGCGGCGGGCAAATGGCTCTCCTATTTCAAACTGGAGCTGCGAGAGCATGATTTATATCAAACAATTTAACTCACATATGGCCTAAAAAAATAAAATGGTGATTCATTACTCCCAGAGCAGCCCGAGTCCTTGCAAGGTCAGATCCTGTGGGGGAGACGGGATGGGATGTGGCCCAGGAATAGTTCTGAAGACTCCTTGCAGGGGCCCAGGAGGCATTTCTAGCTGAGATGTGGAGTAGAAGAGAGAAGTGAAGAAAGTGCATGCATCGGTGGAAGAGCCTGGGAGAGCGTGGAGTAACAGGTCAGCCTGGAGATGTGGCGTTTAGCTTTCAGCTGAAGACATGAAGGAGTAAATCTATACAGAAATGTTTCCGGAGAATGCTAAGGCAGCAGTCCCAGGACAGGGTGTTTTCTGGAAGACAATGACAACTGTGATCGGGGAAATGCCTCATCCAGGGGCACCAGGGGCCACGAGGGCATCATATTTCATAAAGAAAACCCTGACAGAAAAGTGTGGAGAAGCTTCTTGGCACTGAGTTGCCATAAGATGATCGTTAACACACCAGCTTATCTGAGACATTAATAATGCTGTAAAAATGGATAAAGGGGGAAAAGAAATCCTTTCTAAAGATGATGCCAACTGTTCAATAAGGCAATAAAGAGACCAATGGGAGTTTTATCACATGTAAAATACTATTTTAGAGAATAATGGGACCCTGGTTCTTCCAAGAATTGCAATATTGCTGAAAATACCTCAAACAGATGGAGTTTATTGCATTCCACACCCTGCAGCTTTTGATCTACCAAATAAGTTTCAGGAGTTCAACCCAGTATTTTTGCACAATAGGGGATGACTGGCTTCCCTACTCTGTGGCAGATGGTTCTGTTTGTAGTGGCAACAATGATGTCACAGAGTAGGAGGCCTTAATCCTTAAACACAAGAAACACACAAGCAGAGGACGCGGTGTGGCTTGGCCTTTTCTCGGTTCATGAAATCACTTCTCAATCTCCTATTCTGAAAGGGGAGAGCAGTCATGAATGGTGAATTGTAAATGCTTTATAAGTTGCCCCAAGACTCTGGGTCACAACAATTTTAGTTTAGGACCCTGAAAGTAGTCGCACTGAAGAATTTAGCTGCTCTGTGTGTAGCCCTGCAGAAAAAGCTAAAAATAAAGTCAAGGATAGTGGGGCTAAGTGTTGGTCATTTTAAATCTTGTGTTAATACATTGCTAAATGCATGTACATGAGTGGTCATCACTACATTAATAAATATTTGTGCAGGCCCACAGCCCTTCCTCTTCTCCCCCTGAAATAATACAGAGATTCTTTTCCCTATTTGACACAAAGGAAAATTCAGCTAAGAGTCTATCCAAAAGGAATTTCTGAAGTACCAACAGGACTACATTGCAAGCTGGTTTTAACCCACAAAGCAGTCCTAAAAGTATCAATTATGGCTGAGAGAGTCCGGAGTTCAGAGGCAAAGGGAAGTTCCAAAGTGTTTCACTTTCTCCTGTGATTTTTTTTTTCAGTGCTGGGGAATGAGACCCAGGCCTCACACATGCTAGGCTAGCACTCCACCACTATGCTACACCCCCAGCTCTACTGTCACATTTCTTAAGAAATAACACTCAACAGGGGAGGACCATTCCGATATATATAGCTCATATAAACCTCTTTAAAAGGACTGGAGTGTTTGACATAACAAATATGCATAACTGAATTTGCACCCAATTGTTTCCAGGGCATATGTGGACCTCAGGTTGCTTCTTTCAGATGGCCAGCAGGCCAGCCTGTGAGCACAGTCTGGGGAATTCTCGCTTCCCTTGACAGCCTCTGGGCTCAATCTGGCCTGACCCATGTAGCCTCCTGGGCTGGCCTGTCCCCTCAGGCAGCATCACTCCCTTTAAACAACTCAGCCTCCTCAGCCAACAGATGAGGAAATTTTCCTCCTTGCATACCCAAATCCCATCAGCAGTTTCCAAAGAAATGAGTACTAAATTGGGAATTATTGCTCCATGTACACAAGGATGATAGTGAAAAATAACAGAGAAGGCCATGAGGCATTGAATACTTTCACTCAATTGAGGACACTGAGCTCATTGTGATGCACAAAACCTGTACTTAACCCTATAAAATCACTCTGAGGAAGGAGTGGTTATTTTTGCTTCAGAAAAGAATAACTATCTCATGGGTTAAGTAAGGTGCCTGGGCTGCATGACTAATAATGGCAGGGTCAGTATTCAAATGTCAGTGGATCTGACTTAAATCTGTTGCATCCACTGCACACAGTATGTTTCAAAGAATTTGAACTTGGAATTCCTTAATGCTTACATACTAGTCATATTATAAGCCAACAAAACTGTGCCAGAAAAGTCAGTTTTTTGTCTTATCATGGTCTTTAGATACTCAACCAAATTCACATTTATTTGTAATCACATTTATAGAAAAAATATAGGTTATGTGTCAGTAAAATAATCAGTTAAGAGGTCATTCAGAGTAGCCTCTACTGGTACCATGCATACACACACACACACACACACACACTGATTGTATCTTGTATCAGGCTCATCAGTGAAAATAACTATAAAAAAATCTTTACTCTGAAACATTGTAAAGTCCTATATACCTATTTAACAATATGAAAATTGTAGTTATATTTTCAATTTAATAGCCATGGGAATAACAGTAAAAGACAATTGCACTAAATGCAAATTCAGATATAAATATATTGTTAAAATGTTGAGGCTGTTTAGAAGTGTCAGGTGGTTGATAAAATGCTCGGTTTGTGGCTTAGAGAGGTTATCTGTAAGTCACAGAATAAGTAGGAAAGTGAGTCTTGTACTCCTCATTTCCATTTTAGGGCCACATACTCTACTTTGCTCAGATAAGAATTCTACATTTTGCTTTGAATCCAGAAGGATTGAGAGTGAAAGTAATTAGAAAATGCACATGAAAAAACAGAAGGTGATTGGAATATGCACATGAGAAAAGAGTTGGGCTGCTGCATTTGCACAGATATTCACTGCAGTTTGTATCATACAAAAACTATTTGCTTGTGTCACTTTTTCCACTTGTGGAATTTGTATAAAATAGGTATTGCATCGTTTCCATCTCTGAATCTCTGGAGCCCACTACAATAGTAATCCCTGAAGGGAAGGGAAGGAAAGGGGTAGACTGGAAAGAGAAACAAATTTTTTAGAAAACATCAAGACAAATGACTTAAAAGACAAAGAAAACAGTGGAGCAGAACATTTTGATAGGCATGACTTAAGATTTTGTCACATGGAGATGATAGAAAAACATATATCGATGATGTTGTTAAAATGCATACATAAGACCATAGAAAAAATAACCTGCCCCAAACATCAATTTATTCAAATTTGGGTGATTGCTACTTATCTAATTGATGTCAGACCTATACAATTTTTAAAAATGATGCATGTAGACATTTCTTTCCAGTAAAAACAGAAATATCTGTGCAGAAAGCAGAATTTTGTGAATTTAAACTCATGTCGATACATGATACATAAATGTTTCATTATTAGGGTAGTGATTGTCAGATTTAATGACTGAATGGTTTATCAAGAAAGAAGCAAAATGATACAATTCTAAAGCCCTAAAAACCTAGAGGTGTCAATTATGAGGTTGATTTGATTTTGTCAAATGTTTCTAAATGAGGAATATTTACCTCAAACTGATTCTTCCCACAAATCTAAGAGTGTTAACAAAATGAACTTTGTAGAAAAGCATTCTATTTGATTGATTTCAACAGTTAGCTTTCATTAAACACGTGAAAGTCAAGCCATTGTTTAACACGATCTGCAGGACTACGTTGTGTGTAAAAAATGTGAATTCAGTTTATGATGAAAACTGAGAAAAGCACGACTCATGGCACACTGCCCAGTGTGATTTCCTGTCTTGTCTCTGGTGTGTAGTAAGAACTTCTTTGTCTTGATATTCCAAGCAATTGTACCAAATATGTGTTTATAAACAAATGAAAATATTGTGCAAAGAAAACAGATTGTGTGGGACATATCTAGATTTGCTTATCATTGAGTATTCTGATAAAAATCAGAAAATAATATTTAGGTTGTCTTCTTGGTTAGAGCTATGGATACAGGAAAATCTAGGTTTATAAAAAGAGTCCATTGGGGGATGAATAATTTTGCTTTTCCATGACAGTTTTTCACTTACAGAAAATATATTAAATAATCTTCTTAAATAGTCCAATTAAAATAGCTTTAATTTACAAAATCATGACTTAAACTATTTTCACAAACCCTATAGTTGTATGTAAGGAAGACACATGCATAAACATACATACATAGTCATCACCAAGCATATATGGAAAAGAAAATAGCAGAAAGTATTTATAATCTCCTTGGGCTATATTACAGTAGCCACAGAGTTTTAACCTTCCCTTAACTGTTAAAGAAAGTCATTTGCAATGAAAATGATACTTCTACTACCAGGAGTAATTATTAGTAGTATATTTATACATGAAAGCAGAGTGCTTGCTTGTGCCTATCCAATTCAATGCTTCCCATGCTTTATCTCATTGGATCCTATCAACCACCCTATGAGAGACTGTTATCCTCATTTCCAAAATGAGAATCTTGAAATGTGAAATGACTATGTGAGCTGCCTAAGATGTCACAGCTTGTAAGTGAACATCTGGAATTTGAAGAAAGGTGGTTAGACACCCATGCTCTGCTACTTCTCATAATATGCAGTCATCACAGGCTTTAAAAAATGTATATCCTTTCATGGTACTCACTGGTTAGACATCCTCTAATGGCATCTCATTTCATTCACAGTAGAATCTAAAATGCCATTCATTTCCTTCACTCGGCCCCTGACCACCCTCTTGAAGACCAGCTGTCACATCTGTCTCCCTCATTGTGCTCTGGACACACAGACTTTCTTGTTGTTTCTCTAAGACACACATGACTTTGGCTATACACTTGCTCTACCCTTGCCAAGAATCTCCTTCATCTTTTCACAGCACTGACCCCCTACTTTCCTTGAAAAACCTACTCTAATGCTGACTCTTCAAAGGGGCCTTCCCTGGTTATCTTTCCTAAAATATAGCTCACCTGGTCCTTACTCTCACTGTCTGTCCCTTAAATTTATTTAAGTTTTTAAAAATAGAAATGACTATGTCCTTAAATAAGGCTATATAATTAGAGTTACTCATTCATGTGTGCAGTGTCTGTTCCATTGGAAAAAGACATTCATTTTTACCTGTCTCACTGGTGCCCATGATGATAAAAAAGGATATGTTCAATAGGATTTTGTGGAATGAATGAATAAAAAAAATCAAATACATAGGCATTTTTAATATATGATATTTGTGAAATTAAACACTAACCACCAATGGATATGGAAGGGTAATAATAATTAGAATTGAAAACAAAAGTAAAAGTGGTAGTTCAAAATGATTTCTCCTATGTAGTCTGTACAATAGTATATTTCTATGCAAATCTATACACCCACAATAGAAGGAAAACTGGACAACAATTATGAAAATAGTGTACAGATACCTCTGTAACTCAGTATCACTATGAAAGAATCATATTTAACTTTCATTTAGAGAGTACATGGCATATTGTAGAAGGGTATTGTCTTGGATGCTAACCAGACAGATATAGGATGGAATGAGGCTAGGCTGTGTGTGCAAACTAAAATAACAGCAAAGAGAACATTTTGGTAGAAATCCTTAATCCTTTATGCACCCGAAACTCTAAAGTTCCAATGTAACCCTAGGGATGTGGTCAGGCCTGAAGTCCTTCCCCAGAAATCTTCCATTGTCCCACATTGAACCCAGGTCTCAGATTTTGTCTTAAAAATGTTTTATCTCTTTATCCCTATTTTGAGCCTAGAGAGAACCAACTTTGTGCACAAGCAGTCTATAAATTTACTAAGCACCACAAAGGTCAGGGGGACTAAGTCCTCAGGACTCAATCTTGGTACTTTAGTTCTAGGAAGAAACCTGGACCGTATGAAGACTCAGAGGAGCAGTGAGTAGAGATCTGCTCATCTGCAGAGTGTATTTAATGGTGCCTTGTGCGCATGACGGGTGGAACTCCTAAAGTACATGCTCAGACCAGTCTGTGTAATATTACCTCTTCCACAGAACACAGAGACGAGTTCTGTTTATTCACATGAATGAGAGAAGTGCCTCCAAGACACTTGAAGTATATTAATAAAGATAAGTGGGAAGAGCAATTTTTTTGTTCTTTCCCACTCAAGATGACACTAGCCAGAGTAATGCATATATAATGAAAGCAGGAGTTTCATAAAACTAAATACATTATAAAAATATGAAATATTGGCATTATGATCAATGATATACTCCTTGTATTAATATGAAAACAGCTGTGAAATAACAAAAGGAAAGGTAATTTTAAAATAAAACAAAATTTTCTCTTGGTCTGAGATTGCATGGATTATGTTTCAGGGCAGAGTAGGGCATTTTCTTTAAAAATATACTGGTTAACTTTTAAAAACAGAAATACAATACAGAAAAAGCATTGTGAAAAGTGATGTAAAAAGAATAAACCAAGTATCCATTAAAAGTTTGCTAAATTAAATCAAAAGAAAACAATTTTCCCTAGCATATAGTATGTAGTAAGATAGACACAACTTACTAAAGATTTATCAGGGTAGACCCCAGCTCTTAGAAGAGATGCTTTCCAGCTGTCCACATCCTCCTGGGAATCACATGCCAGCTCCAGGAAACGATAGTCTTTGTATACATTCCTGGAGTTTAAAATAAATCACACTTTTAGTTTTAAACCAAATTAAGAATGATTTTTATATCACTACAGACAATATAAATGACAGTCCAAAAGACAGTTCTCTAATAATCACTAAAGGAAAACTACCACCACAACAAAAATATCTTGTATTTTAAAATAATTAGTGAGTTTCTATATGTATTTATTACATATTTTTTTTAAAACTCACAACAAAGAGCTCACAGTTATTTGTACTATGGGGCAATTAAATTAACAAAGGAAAGGCAAACATACTCAACATTGTCCACTGTGGGCCATCTGACTGGAAACTGTGCTGTGGGGAAGGAATAGTTATTGCCTAGTAATTAGATCAATTTTCTGAGGCTATTTCACAAGTCTAATTGAATAAATAGCTCATAAAACCTTTAAATGCATCGCAATAATCTTATAGCTTAGAAGTCTATGCTAGATTCAAAATAGAAATGCTCATCAAATTGTGAAAAGGGAAGGCTGATATCTAGTGTTTAATGGGATGAGATGCCTCTACATATCATTTATAACTACATTTTTTTCCTAATAAAATAATACATAAGACACAATACATGCATATGTTGACAATTTGCAAGCTGGATAAAAGAATAAAAATGGTAACAATCAAAACAGATACTTTATTTTTTTTGTTCTACATATTTTCATGCAGTCTTTCCTCTCTTTCTGTTTTTCCCTCCCTCCTTCCCTCTCTAGCTCTGTATTAATTTTATGTGCTGATTTTTTTGTTTACTCCTATATCATACCCATTTATTTATACCATTTAAATCTTTATAAACGTCAAATTATACAGTACCACATTCATTCATATAAATATATGACATCTGCTTAACCTGTTCCTAATAGATAATTAAATCATTTCCTTTTTGTTTTTCCTATCATAAATAGTGCTTAGATGAATAGTATTCATGAGCATTTGACGCATTTATTACTATTATTTTCTGAGGAAAGAGTTCTACAAATAGGGTTATAAGGTCAAAACAAGATCATTTTAAAGACACTTTCCCATCACTTTTGAAGAAAAATAGTCCAGTTTAGATAGGAACTATCCGTATATAAGATTATCGGTCTTTCTTCTCTCCTTACTCTTTCCCAGTATCTCATCCCTGCTAGCAGCCTCCATTTCCCCTCAGTATCGGAGGGCTAGCACATTTGTATCTCCTGTCTAAACCTGTCCCAGAGCCCCAGGGTCATCTTGTCTGTTGACTTCTCCACTTGAGCATCTCAAAGGAACCTTGACATAGACAACTCAATTGGTGATTTTTAATTTGGTCTTCTTCCAGTATTCCCATTTCATGCAGCAGTTGTGCAATCCTGATCCATTTTTCTTTTTATACCTTCCACACTTCTCTTCCACTTTATCACCTAAAGAAGTATCCTTTTTAAAAAGTTGGTGGCCACCTTCTTCCTCATCATCTTTCTCTTGGACTAACGATAGCCTCGTTTGTCTCTTAGCTTCCCATTCTTCTTACATTTGTTCTTGGCATTGAAACCTCCTGACCCTCTAAACATGCTAATCAGCTATTTTATCCCTGGAGTATGACTCCAATGTCCACTTGCTTTTAAGAAGGAGACCGCAATCCCATGATGGCCTACAAAGTCCCTGCAGTCCAGCCACCATTACTTTCCTCTCCAGCATCTTTTCACAATTTGCTCTTTCTGCTCCAGCCACATTGGCTGTCTTTTAGGTCCTTAAATGTGCCATGCTTACTCCTAATACCTTTGAATATGCTACTTTCTTTGCATCTGTCTTCACAGCTAACTCCTACTCTTTCTTGGAATCTCAACTCAGTCATACCTTCCTCAGAAATCTCTTCTCCAATAGACAGCCCTACCAGGTCAGCTCTTCTCTTTCATATGTTTTTCACATTTCTATTTACCTTTTGTTCATAGCTCTTATCACGAATGGGATTACAGAATTAAGTGTGACTTCAGAATCACTGTTGTGATTATTTCAGAATTATACTTTTTCTCCCTCTGTTTTTTTCTTTCCTTTCTCCTTCCTTTCCTTTTCTTCTTCTCATTGTTTTTCCTTCTTCTCTCCCTGCTCATTCCCTCCTCTCTCTCTCTCTCTCCTCCCCCCCTCCTTCCCTCCCCTCTCATACAGTGGAGGAGAGTGAGCATATCATTTTTATCTTACCCGTTTTATCCCCAGGGGACAGGCAAGTTGCCTATCACATATCCATGATGACTGCAATACCAGTGCCTTTTCACAAATGTAAGACAAGTCCACTTAAAGGGCTTAGCAATTACACCTATGCTATAATGAATAAATGAAAATAAAAGGAAAGAGATCTAACAGCGAGAGAGAGAGAGAGAGAGAGAGAGAGAGAGAGAGAGAGAATAAAGAAAGCAGTCAGGGGAACTTTGGGGAAAAGTAAAAGACAGAAAAATAACAAATGCTTGAAAAGCTATACAGTATGCACAGACTTCCTGAAACTAAGATGCCAGCCTGTTGATTAAAACATTGAATAGATAAACTGTAGGAAAGAATAATCACTGTTGAGATTAGAATTAGCAGCAATCAAAATCCAAGAGAAAAAGTGGAAAAATACAAAGAGGGAGAGATGATAAACATGTAGAGGAAATACCAAGAGTACCTAAACCTGTAAATATCAAGAGTCCTAGAAAAAGAAAAGAAAGGTAGAGGAGAAAAGTAATTATAAAAGAAAAACTATTTTTAAAAAAACCTTCCCGGGGCTAGGGATTTAGCTCAGTGGTGCTGCCGCCTGCCTCGCAAGTGCAAGGTCCTGAGTTTGATCCCCAGTACCCCCCCCCTCCAAAAAAGACACACACACACAGACACAAAACTTTCTCTGAGTTTTATAGAAAGACTGGATGTGTACACCAAAAGTGCAACTTCAAGAAAAATACCAACTAAGATACCACTTAGGTATAGATTAATACAATTCCTGAATTCTGAGATAAAGAAAACAATTTAAAGAATTGGAATCCTGCACTCATCAAGATATCCACATACTCCATCTGAGAAAAATCCTAAAGCAGGTTTAGGGCTAATACAATATCAAATGAACACACAGAGTGCTCAAGGTGAGGGAAGATTAAGAGGGGAGGAAACAACGGTAAGAAATAAAACTTGTAAATAAAAAGAAATAATAAAAAAAAATTAGAAATGCACAATATAAAGGCTAAATTAAACTATTGAAGTACAAGAGACATATTTCAACAGAAACTTGAATAGTCTAACAGTTGGGAGTGGGTAAGAAGCATAAAAATGTACCCAAGGTCCCCTCTGGCACATGCAGAAGTGGAGAGTAGAGAAGCAAAAGGATCTCATTGTTAGGAGGAGGTTGGCAGAGAAGGAGAAGAAATATCTCTCTCATGGGAGAAATAATTGATACTGTGGTTCAGGTAATAACAGAGGGACTATGTATTGATGATCAATTTAATATTAGTAAAATAAAAAGTACAGAACTCTCAAATTAAAAAAGAAAAACAATTATTTTTCACTAAATTAACAACAAAAGAAAAAGAAAAGAACAGAAAAAGAATCAACATGACAAAATAAAATAACATGGCAGAACTAAAATAAAATATATAAATTATTAAATTAATATAAATGAAGTGAGCTCTCTATATTCAGCCACATATTTTAGTTTAAGAAAGAAACCAAGGATGTGGTTCAGTGGTGCCATGCCTGCCTGGCAAGTGCAAGGTCCTGAGTTTGATCTGCAGCATTGCAAAAAAAAAAAAAATTGTAAATTAAAAGTTGTAGACAAAGTGGAATTTAAAAGTATGGAACAGAATAAACAATATGAAAATACTGAATACAAATACAATATAAAATATAATTTATAAAGATTAGAAAAAGCTCATAAAGCTATTTGTACTAAATAATATAGTATATAAGTACATCAAGCAAGTGCTACTAGGAATACACATGAATTCAGTATAATATATGTATATAATTAATTGAAGTATAAATATAGACAATTTGAGTATAACTTTTGAATTAGATGGTTACAATGGGCAAAATTCAGTATATACAAGAAGTAAGTAGTACAATTAAAAAAGTCCCCTTAAATATATTTTTGTTAGTATATACTAATTTTATAAAATATTGGGTTTAAATGTGGTATTTTCATACACATATATAACACATTTTGAAAATCCCTCATTATTCTCCATTCTACCCATTTCCCCCAATTCCTTTCCTCTTGTTTAATAACAATTTCCCACAAAGAAATCCTTTTAATAGAATCCTTTATCCCTTGACTAGAAGACACAGATTTTTCATCATGCACAAAATATTTATAAGAATCAGTCATATACAACACATATACACAATACCTTCCTTAACAAACTTTAAAAAGGAGACACTCTCCAAATCATATTCTGTGATCAGGCCCCCTAAATTTTTAGGTAAAAAAGATAAGAAAGAAAAACCTAGGAACATATGCCTAGACAACCATTGTAAGACACACAAACACATATATGTGTGGCCACACACCCGCATATATACACACATCCAAAAATGAGTATACAATTTCTATGAAGGTAATAAAAATATAAAGATTTTATAGCCAAACAATGGAGCCTAAAAACAAGGATTCAGGAAAATGTGAATACATTCACTATTTAGGGGGAGTAGAGAGAGAGAGAGAGACAAAGTTCACCTAGAGAAATTATAAAGTGATTTAAAAACAGAGGTTAATTAATGAGATTAAAACTATAATTAATGAAACAGGAAGTGTGAAAACATAAAAGATAACCACATCCACAAGTGTTTCCCCCTTATCAATAGATAAAACATTTACAATCCTAATTAAAAAAGAAAATGGAAGAAAAGAGTATAAAGATCTCAAATGAGAAAGGATAGGTTACATAACCACAAATACAGAAGAGACTGAAAAAATTAAAATCAAATATGATACACAACCTTATGGTAAGACTAAAACTGTAGAAGAAATGAATACTCAAAAATTATATAAATTAGCAAAATTAACTCAGAAG